ACTATTTTTTCTCTGTCCGGGACTCGCTCGCTGCGGGTGAAGGGGCATGTCTGACAGGATGAGTTAGCCCAAACCCGTTTTCCACCAGTTTTTGAAGCGAGCAAGCGACAGCGATGTATCGTATCGTTCGTATCAGTCGTTTTCCACCGATTGTTGTCGCTCACTCACTTCAACAACTGGTTTAGAATCGGCTGACGGCGCACCAGACGAAACCTTACTGACACGCCCCCTCATCTGCAGGGAACAAAACTGTATTAACGGGAGAGTATTTGTGGCCAGTAGCATCGTCGTACGTATAGCCCAGGTATCAAGTCAAAAGTCGAACAAGCAATCCATCCACCACTTTGAGGCCGGTTATTTGGTACTAGACTTGTCTGGGAGGTAGATACATGACCTATACCCGCGGTAAGCTCTTGTCACGCCTAATGTTCATTCGGAAGCCACCAAGCTTCAAGTGGAAGAGACCTGAATAGTGCATCACAAATTACGAACGCTATGCTGTTAACTGAATTCACTTCCAGTTCTTTTTTACTATCCAGTTGCTGCTTACAGGTGAAAGTCGCTCATTTTGGCGGAGGTGATCTGAATACTTCCACGAAAGCTGAGGAAAAGCTTAGTCGCAAAGATGTGATAGCCGATTTAATAGCGAAGACTAGACAAGCTCGGGAGGAAAAACACATTGCAAAAGATGAAATGGTGAGATCCACTGTCATGTATGCTGGTCCTGTTGCCCTTGTTCGAATGCAGTATTCGTTTAGGAAACTGTAACTGAAGACCTGGATGCGAAGTATCTCAAGCTCTTGGACAAAGTGAAAAATGTGTTCAGGCCTGTTGGAGCAACAAAAGCTGAAAAGAGCGAAAAAGATGACTACGATAAACTGGTTCGTTTCAAAAAAGAGCCTTTTTGAAACGGCTTTTCCTCTGTTTTTTTATGGGAGCACCTCTTTTTCCAATTTTTGTTTGTATTATATTACCGTATCGCTTGTGAGGGGACCAGTTTATATCATTTGCACAGTCCTGTTCGTAGCGGATGGCCGGGCGGGTCAGTAAGGCTGGATTTGGCGCACCGCCAGACCATTCTCCACCAGTTACTGGAGCGGAACCAACAACAGTCGGTGAAAACGACTAATACGAACGATATGATGCGATATGATATGGTAACTTGCCAAAAAAAAAAAGGGATGGCTCCGCGCCAAACCCACCCCTCCCTTTTGAGCTACTCCATTCCGCAGCGAACAAGACTGTGTAGCCAACCTTTTGTTCATTTTCTCTTTTTTTTTGGCAAGTTACAAATCGCATCATATCGTTCGTATTAGTCGTTTTCACCGACTGTTGTTGGTTCCGCTCCAGTAACTGGTG